GTGTATACTTTGCAATACTAATTCCCACCTACAGGGGCACTGTTCCGAGTACACACATACACATCATGGTTTAAGAGGACAGTGTTTGTAAAGGTTATAAAAAAGGTAGGGAGTGTCATAACAGTGCAATAGATACATTAATTAACACAAGTAGTAATGTAGAAAACATACAAGCATTATTTTTTATTATTATTATTATTAGTCAATAATTATTACAATAAAAAATTTCAGAATTACGAGGTCACTAAAAGTGGTCTCATAAACCGATTGGTCTTGTAATGCTGGTATGTAAACCTGAAAATTGGTCTCATAAACCACAAATGCCTACACACACACACACACACACACACACACACACACACACACACACACACACACACACACACACACACACACGCACGCACGCACACACACACACACAACCACACTAATATACAGACACACACACACAACTACATTAATATACAGACACACACACAACCACACTAATATACAGACACACACACACTAATATACAGACACACACACAACCACGCTAATATACAGACACACACACACACACAACCACACTAATATACAGACACACACACAACCACACTAATATACAGACACACACACAACCACGCTAATATACAGACACACACACACACACAACCACACTAATATACAGACACACACACAACCACACTAATATACAGACACACACACAACCACACTAATATACAGACACACACACAACCACACTAATATACAGACACACACACAACCACGCTAATATACAGACACACACACAACCACACTAATATACAGACACACACACAACCACGCTAATATACAGACACACACACAACCACACTAATATACAGACACACACACAACCACGCTAATATACACACACACACACACACACACACAACCACACTAATATACAGACACACACACAACCACACTAATATACAGACACACACACAACCACACTAACATACAGACACACACACTAACATACAGACACACACAACCACACTAACATACAGACACACACACTAAGATACAGACACACACACTAAGATACAGACACACACACTAGGGCTTTCAATTAAAAACAACAACATTTAATTATGGAAATATATTCAGTGTTATTTTAGTCAGATTTATACTTTTTTCACATTTTACTATTATAGCATGTTTTAAAAGTAACTTTAAAACTTATTTAAATTTTTATATATATATATATATACTGTATTTTAGTTTAAGATTTAATAATTTTGTTATGTGCTTTTCTCATTTTATTATTATATATATTTGTTTAATTTCCAGCTTTATTTCAATTAATAAAAATGATTTTTTTATTTATTTTTTTTTATTATTATGACAACAAAAAACATAAAGGTCTCATACATAGACATTAACATGTAAACATGAAAATAGCATACATAAACGTGTGTGTGTGTGTGTGTGCATGTATTGCTGGGTGTGTAGGTGGAAATAACTTAACAGAAGAAAATCTTACAGATACAACAGACATGATAAAAATGAACTAAATAGTAACAACAATAATAATAATAATAAAAAAATAAAAATAAAAAAAAAAAAAAGTAAATAAATAAATAAATGAAAAAGAATTAAGGCTAATATGAAAAAAAAGAGATGTGTCTGATCTCCCCTTGGCCAAGACACACTACAATGGGCTATAGGCGATAAGACGATGTGCACCGGAGCCTGGGGCCCAAGGACCCCCATCACTCACCACCGAGAACACTCCCCACCTCCGGCCGTCACACATGCCATGCTTACCCTGTTTGTTTGTTGTTGTTGTGTTTTTTTTGTGTGTGTGTGTTTTATTTCCTTCCCTTTTTTTGTTTTTTGTTTTTTTGCTCGTGATGGATGTATATGCATGTCAGCTAGTGTGTTGCATTAAAAGAAAAGAAAAACGAGACGTGTAGTGTGGAACCAGCTCCATGGTCACACCACGATCATGCCTCCCTTATCCTGCTTAGGCCTATGTGTTTTTTTTTGTTTTTTTTTTCTCATTCCTTGTTTTAAGCAACCAATTAAGTGAGTATGTATCTCGAAATGTAATGCATTAAGAAAGGTAATACATGTAGTGCTTAACCTGACAGAAAACCAGAAATGCAGGGCACAAGAGTACAGGCAGACGGAGTGAAGGTACTATCTCAAGGCCCCAGGCTCCACACTTGCCCAGAACTAATGACAACTGCATAGGGATCAAGAAACAGCATACACATATACAAGCCCTACTTGGGTTCAGAGTCAGTATACACATACATATACACTAAAATATATATATATATTAATAAAAAAAAAAAAAAAAAAAAAAAAAATGAGAATAAAAAAAAAGAGAGAAAAAAACACAAAAACCCCCACAAATAATAATAAATAAAAGGGATTTAGCTAGTCAATAAGTGGTGTAACTGTATGATAATAGTTATGTAATATGGCTGTGTAGAGTAAAAGAGAGAAATGTTCATATGTCTGCTAAATGAATAAATGTAAATATGAACATATGGTTAGACATACATATACGCATGTACACAAGCATGAGAGTCAGACACACACACACACACACACACACACTGACAGAAGGTAAGGATATCTGATCTGATATATTGAGACATTAGCGTGTAGTGTAGAGGGTAATCTCAGTCAGTCTACTGAGCAGATTACACTTAAAGACACACACACACACACACACACACACACACACACACACACGCACACGCACACGCACACACACACAGAAGTGTGTGTTCTAATACCTTCCCAATATCCTTTGCATCTGACCAATCAGAAACAGCATCAAATAAAAGTTCATGTCTATGTTTTCTAGTGTGTGTGTGTTAATTATAGTCCCCTTTCTCACGGCTACGAGTGATTTGACAAATGTATGTTCTCTCTGGAGAGGGTTTGGGCTTGGTCAAGTGTGTTTGCATGGATGTGTGTGTGTTATCATGCAGTATTTGGCGATGGATATCGCCACATCTCAAAATACTTCACGACCCCCTGCTACTGCACGGCCCTTGAGCACCAGAGGAGGGAGCAGATGGCCGTTTGGGGCCCAGGGCGGAGAGCCCAGACCTGGGGAGACGGTCCTGGCACAGTCCTGCTCCAGAGCTGTTTGCTAAACTGAGGCATGGTGTGATCGCTGATCACGGCCCCTGAGAGACTCTATCAGCCGACCACTGGGGGACAGAAGATATCCATATGGATGCGAACGGCCTACCATAAACACACGTTTAACTACCAACTAATGTAGGGACACATAATACAAATATAAATAATGTGCACACCAATATAATAATAATATCAAAATTAATATATATATATATATATATATACACTACATATGTGACCCTGGATCACAAAACCAGTCAAAAGTCGCACGGGTGTATCTATGGCAATAGCCAACAATACAGTACATCGTATGGGTCAAAATTATAGATTTTTCTTTTATGCCAAAAATCATTAGGATATTAAGTAAAGATCATGTTCCATGAAGATATTGTGTACATTTCCTACCGTAAATATATACAACATTTATATTTGTGAGTGAATACAGCACAATCGCGAACATAAGTGGACAACGATGTTCTCAATGTTTCGCTTTTTTGGAACCCTCAGATTCCAGATTTTCATATAGTTGTATCTCGGCTAAATATTGTCCTATCATAACAAATCATACATCAATGGAAAGTTATTATTTATTCAGCTTTCAGATGGTGTACAGTATAAATCTAAATGTAAAAAAAATTACCCTTGTGACTGGTTTTGTGGTATATATACAGTCATATATACTGTATATATATATATTTTTTCTCTATATACATTTATTTCAAAGTTTAAAGAAAATGTATATATATATATATAAAACAACAATTTGTATTAATGATAATAATAATAATATATTAATTTAATAATAATAAATTAATATAATAAAATTAATTATATATATATATATATATATATATATATATATATATATATATATATATATATATATATAAAAAGAGAAATCATTCTACAACTTGAAATAGTTTTTTTTGTAACATTTTTGGTCAATGTAATGCATCCTTGATGAATACAATTAATCATTTTCTTACCGTTGGAAGGTTTTCAGGTCATTTTACATTGATCAAAAATATTACAAAAAAAGTTATATTTCAAGTTGTAGAATAATTTCTGAAGGATCATGTGAACCTAAACACTGGAGTAATGATGCTGACAATTCAGCTTTAAATTACAGAAATAAATTACATTCTAAAATATATTTAAATAGAAACTTTAATTTTCTTTAAATTTTAAACTATAATAACAATTCACAATATTATGGGTTTTTACTGTACTTTTGCAGCATACTATATTTTTGCTTTAAATGTAGCCTTGGTGAGCATAAGAGTCTTGTCAAAAACATTAAAAAAATCTTACCGACTCCAAATGTATGAACGGAAGTGTGCACACTGCAATATATATGTCGTTTGAAGCCACATTCAGTCCGTCTCAGGTGTGACCATGGCAACAGTTTCCTCAGCACCTCCATCACTTTGGAGATACCCTGAGGGAAGAGTACGGCCTCTCTCCATCTTACTTACCGTCACCAGAGACACATCACCCACACTTTACACATGCTCGACACACACACTCCTAACTGGTTTCTATTCCACCCCTCGGGGCCCCGGGGACGCCAGGGGCCCCAGAGTGATAAACCACCGGCTACAGGATCCAAACGGACACAAACACACACAGAAGTACACGAAAAAACGCATGGTAGCCAAGCTCTAAAGCAATAAAACAGATGAAGTGTTTAAGAGCGCGGCATCAGGATAAAGCCATCCGTCTGTGTGACTCGCCATGATTCAATCAGAGTCGGAATCAGTCGTGTATCTATCAAAGAGTGGCTGAGGAAATCAGTGAGACTCCTGTAGTCAGCGATTCAGTGAGACAGAAAACGCCAGTGAATCTGTCAGTGTGGATCAGTGTCTCACCTCCAGTAAACCAGGACGGCCAGCAGCAGAACGAGGCAGAGGAAGGTGAGCGCCGACACCACCACCAGAGGGATGATCCACTCCATCCTTCCCGAACCAGGCACAGGCTGCATGCTGGAGGAGACCACGGTACGCTCTGAAACACACACACACACACACACACACACACACACACACACACACACACACACACACACACACACACACACACACACACACACACACACACACACACACACACACACACACACACACACACACACACACACACACACACACACACACACACACACACACACACACACGCACACGCACACGCACACACGTTAATATGAACACACGAACATATGAAAATACAATAACACTTGCTGCTATGTAGTGAGCAGGGATGAAATAAAGCTGATATAGATGTAAATCTGTGTATCATATAACATAATCAATTACAGATATCACATTTGTATTAATATATCAAAATTATTAATATTACTACTACTAATAATAATGATAATAATTATTAATAATAATTATTATCATCATTAATAAAATTGCAATTATACTCAATTGATTTAGATAAAAAAATTGCTGAAATTCAGTAAACACATTTCACACAATACTTTCTCAACATTCAAAATAAATGCAAAAACAGATAAATAAATATCAAAACAATAATAACAATTATTAATATTTATAATAATTAATACTATAATTATTAATATCAACATAACTATTATTACAATTTCTATGATTTAACAATACAATTATATGATAAAATGATTCAAAGAATAATATTCAATTTAATTAGATTTCTTTTACACAACATCTATTAATGCAAAAATACTTAAAATTATTGTCAAATATTGGTTCCGGTCACCATCATTTTGCCAAGTAAAGTGTTTCTAGATTAATTGATTTTGTTTGTCCTAGAGCAATCCTCAGTCCTCAGGTTGTCCTAATCATAAATAAACAGAGAGAAATGTTGGGTTTATATGAATGCTACACAATCCTGAAACCCAGTTCTAAGTTGAACTCTGACCCAGAGGTGGTCAACCCTGCTCCTGGAGACCCACGAGTCCCAATTCACACACTCTCCGTCCTAAATATAGTATTCGAAATTAGAATTAGTGCGTCCCAAATCGTAGTATGTTGAAATGAGTGTCTATAGTCAACTTTGTCCAGTTAGAATCCGAAGTGCAGATCCGTGCACTCTGACGGCTGATATTGCCCACAATCCCACTGTGTGTCGGACGAGGATTCGATAAGAAGTACAAACATAAATAAAAGTGTTAAACGACAAACAAACTCGCGGATGTGCGAATCTGACGGTTTTGTAGAGAGGTTTAGATAAAGGGGTTTGAGTAATTAATTATTACCTAGTTATCCACATTATATTTACTTTGCAACAACATTGTGAACTTTTGTAAAGATATATTTGGTCATTAAAGGTAGGGTAGGTCATTTTCAGAGATACTAGCAATAGCGAGGTATTCATTTCGGCGTTTATAGTGTTGACATTGAAACGCATAAATTTGAGTCACAATCCGCTCCGAATATGACGTCACAGTTTTCATCTCTTCCAGATTACAGTAGTTATGGCAATGGTATGTTTTGGTTCAGGAGGACCTGTTGTTTCGGTTGCGCTGCTCGGTGACTGACCTCTGTCTAAAGGTCCTTGCGCACTGAAATTCTCGTCCGAAATTTTCGCTTGTTAAAAAATAAATACGACCTCACATTATGTCAATGATGTTTGCACACTGCCTCTGAAACTTTCGTCCGTCATAAAAAAATTTGTATCGGATTCGATTTTCTGCGTTTATTGCATCCGTAGCAAGCATTTTGACAGGCGTTTTGATAATTATCCGATCGTTTCCGAATAATGAAAACGAAAAAACACATATGAAAATTTCGGACTCGGTGCGCACGGACCTTACCTCTGCATAGCATGAAACACACTGATGACGTGTGATGTCTGCGAGCAGGTGTGTGGACGTATAGAAATACATACGTTGACCGGCAGGTAGGACATCGTATCACTGCATTTGGACTGAATGCAATGATTGGATGAACATTTTATGGTCCTACGCCTTCCACAGACGACATACACTCACCTAAAGGATTATTAGGAACACCATACTAATACTGTGTTTGACCCCCTTTCACCTTCAGAACTGCCTTAATTCTGCGTGGCATTGATTCAACAAGGTGCTGAAAGCATTCTTTAGAAATGTTGGCCCATATTGATAGGATAGCATCTTGCAGTTGATGGAGATTTGTGGGATGCACATCCAGGGCACGAAGCTCCCGTTCCACCACATCCCAAAGATGCTCTATTGGGTTGAGATCTGGTGACTGTGGGGGCCATTTTAGTACAGTGAACTCATTGTCTTGTTCAAGAAACCAATTTGAAATGATTCGAGCTTTGTGACATGGTGCATTATCCTGCTGGAAGTAGCCATCAGAGGATGGGTACATGGTGGCCATAAAGGGATGGACATGGTCAGAAACAATGCTCTGGTCGGCCGTGGCATTTAAACGATGCCCAATTGGCACTAAGGGGCCTAAAGTGTGCCAGGAAAACATCCCCCACACCATTACACCACCACCACCAGCCTGCACAGTGGTAACAAGGCATGATGGATCCATGTTCTCATTCTGTTTACGCCAAAGTCTGACTCTACCATCTGAATGTCTCAACAGAAATCGAGACTCATCAGACCAGGCAACATTTTTCCAGTCTTCAACTGTCCAATTTTGGTGAGCTCTTGCAAATTGTAGCCTCTTTTTCCTATTTGTAGTGGAGATGAGTGGTACCCGGTGGGGTCTTCTGCTGTTGTAGCCCATCCGCCTCAAGGTTGTGCGTGTTGTGGCTTCACAAATGCTTTGCTGCATACCTCGGTTGTAACGAGTGGTTATTTCAGTCACTGTTGCTCTTCTATCAGCTTGAATCAGTCGGCCCATTCTCCTCTGACCTCTAGCATCAACAAGGCATTTTCGCCCACAGGACTGCCGCATACTGGATGTTTTTCCCTTTTCACACCATTCTTTGTAAACCCTAGAAATGGTTGTGTGTGAAAATCCCAGTAACTGAGCAGATTGTGAAATACTCAGAGCGGCCCGTCTGGCACCAACAACCATGCCACGCTCAAAATTGCTTAAATCACCTTTCTTTCCCATTCTGACTTTCAGTTTGGAGTTCAGGAGATTGTCTTGACCAGGACCACACCCCTAAATGCATTGAAGCAACTGCCATGTGATTGGTTGATTAGATAATTGCATTAATGAGAAATTGAACAGGTGTTCCTAATAATCCTTTAGGTGAGTGTATATGTATATAAAAACATTTATAACACTTAACTTATTGATTGCTTGTGAAGAAACTTTCAACTAGCATCACAAAAATGTTATGTTTCTGGAGCAAATCACCTACCCTGCCTTTAACTTTTAAATGCATCTTTATGCAAATTGCAAACACAGAAGGAGAGTTATCCGAATAAAAGACCCACAACGTGCCACTTGAATGTGGAAGATTTTAACTGTGACAAGATGATTGACAGGGCAGTTTAAATGGTGACAGGATGCACGTAACTAAGCAACTGAGCTGTCCGCTAAAGACACGATTATGATGAAGTATATGTCCTACTCAGCCTACTATTCTGCTACACACTCAAAAGTATGTACTTTTTCTTCACAAAAACAGTACATACTTTTAGAGCATAGTATAAGTAGGTGAATTGGGACACGGCACCACTGTTCTGCAAAGTTTATTTCCAACCAGCTTCAGCACACCTGCATTGTGATATTCAAGCGAAACTGAAGAGCTTGATGAGCAGGTTCAGGAGTGTTAGATTAGGGTTAGAGCTGAACTCTGCGGGACACTGGGACCCTTTCCCTAAAACCTGCTTGGTTAATATAGATGCTGTTCCAGGACTAGTCTCATCCTCAGACGTCACGCCCACGGAACACTGGCTGAACGTCTGATGCATATGGTACACTTAACTGGAAACACTTCAGGAATGTCGAAGTCGTCATCTGATTGGTTGAATTTTATCGGATTTCCGGGGGGCGCGAGTGTCGCGTTTATGTTCGGTCCGCCGGGAAACAAAGCGCAGACGTGTGATTGCGGAAGAAAAACTGTTGTGTTTACATGAGTGACAATGAGCATTTATCAAGATCAGCTAAACGTAGGATTCTCAAAAGTATGCGAGGTTCACGGCATAGACTCTTGAAGTTTTCTTCTCCTTCTTTGATTTTCTATGCTGACTGACTTGTTGCACCCGGTCTGTTGTTGTGGGGACATTTCCACGCCCCGAAACGTGACGCTGAACGAAACGAACTGTAATTGGTTGTTTGACATGTCGGTCAAACGGCCTTATGGGCGGGCCTTGGCCAAAGAAAGCTGCTATGAGTTCCAGACCTTCAGCCGTCAGTCTGAAGGTCTGGCTACGCGAGACTATTCCAGGACCAACAAGGATGTTGACTGAGGAACACGTCCCACACACACACACACACACACACACACACACACACACACACACACACACACTAACATACCAAAAGTCCCAAACTGTCAGTGGAAAGCACAGACTCAGATCCCGAAAGTAAGAACAGAGAGATCAGAAAACCTGCAGCTCCCCTCGGGTGGTCCAGAGATGCTGCTAACTAATCCATGCTGTTATCCTAAAACACCACAGCTTCACCACACACACACACACACACACACACACACACACACACACACACACACACACACACACACACACACACACACACACACACACACACACACACACACACACACACACACACACACACACACACACACACACACACACACACACACACGCAGTCAAGCGACGAAGAGCACTCTGAGATGATCTCAAACTCCTGGCAGGCACACACGCACACACACACACACACACACACACACGCACCGCACACGCACACGCACACACACACACACACACACACACACACACACACACACACACACACACACACACACACACACACACACACACACACACACACACACATGCGCGCACACACACACACATGCGCGCACACACACACACGAGTGAACATAACGCCATTGCCATAGAGCTAAATATGGAGTTTCTCTGTTTCGTTCTATTTTTTTTT